CTGCATGGCGTTTGTTCTCCTTGTCCATGTGTGAGTACTCCAGTTCTCTCCCATTCCTCAAAAATGAGCTTGTAAGATTAATGGAATACGTTACATGAGTACATGTTTTGTGTCTCTAGGTTGCCTTGAAATGGACTGGGGCATACACCACCTCTCATCCAGTAGCCGTTGGACAGGCACCTGCGACCCTGCAAGGATACAACAGACTACTTACGAGAACCTAATAGTTATCCATGCAATCTCTTCTCACACATTACATGAAGCAGATGCCTTTATTGAACCATCAGTGTAATAATATACCAAACAGCTATTTATAATGGTAAGCAACAAAAAAAGATGGGATTTATTGGCAAATTATAGGGGTTTTCTTTTCATCTTACATCTCAGGGAAAGATAGCTTGCATCTCTCTCAGTGCTCAGTCTCAAACCAGAAACTAACCGGTGCTTAATTTCCTATTCATAACTTTAATAGAGGCTCTTGTAACCTTGTGCATATTATTGTCAAAGATGTGGCCAATTCCCTGGTTTAAGTAAGAGATGCACTTAACAGATTGTCCACTTTATGTTTCTGATTATAATTCATTGCAGTGAGATTTTTCTTCTACTGCAGCCTGTAGAGATTTATAAACACCAATATATTTTATCAGACTGTTAAACTGCACTGAATGTGGTGATTGAATTGGGCAGCATTTACTGATCCAGTAATTAGCTATTCTTCTGAGATAGTACTCCATAAATGCTTTGAAAATAATTTGGTTTTATTAAAACTGAGCAAAACTCAACATATCTCTTTGAATCTACCGGTAACAGAAGAAGTTGTAGATTTTAGTGTTCTGAACGCACAGCTAAATCTCTGCGTTTCATAGTAAGATTGTGTCACAAAATATTACAACCGTCTCGTATCGACTGCATGAAATGTCCCGTCATTTTCCTGCTGTCGACCTCATTTCTGCTTGAAGCCTGTCGGCATCTTTTGCTTACGTTTGCTGGTATCACAGCCAACATTGTGACTGTTCTAGTTCACTGCGACCATGTTCATACAGAGGCAGCTGTTTTTATTTTAAAAAATAATTAAATAAAAACATTCTGATTATGTAATCCCCGCACACAGCTTGCCTGGTAAAAAAAAAAAAATTGCAGACAAGGTACAATCTTGAACACAGAAAAGCTTTCTGCAGATAAACAGGTGAAACGCTTCCCCAAGGAGCTGAGCGATACAGAAATGACCTCAGAAGATGCTCAAAGATAGTCCCTCCCCCCCTCCCACTAGATTTGTTGGCTGTGTAACTAAAAATGTCTGCAAGTCAGGACTACTGTGGACTCAGTCTCCTTGTACTCTTGAGCTGCTGTTGAACAGCTGCTGGCTGTTTGTTTCACATACTTTGAGCAAAGTCATAAATCAAACCGGTCATGCAGTGACAAAAAACAAAAAACAAATAAAGGAGCAGCAAACATACATTTGCTAGACGGTTCTGTGAAATGGCTCGTCTGAAAACGTACCTGCTGAGCCGGTATTGAGCTGCTCGTCTTCTTTGGTCTCATGGCGGTTTTTAATGTGTACATCTTTGCTCAACATTGTCTGTCTTTCTATAGCTTCTGCATTGTAATACAAAGATGTAGTTATGGTAAACGACAATGTTCTCCCGCAAATAAATAAAACAGTTCACATGTTGTGCATCATCGTAACAGGTACGGATCAT